TCTTCTCATAGAGAAAATACAGCTGTACTTGTATCATCTTGCAGAGATAAATACCTTAACCTCTTGCCATCCACCAGTTGTGAAAAAACGGACGGACGGCGGACTCACATTGGCGCGTTGACGTCTCCAGACGACTTTTTTTCCTGCTCGCGTGCGCCCCCTAGCACGAGCACGGGCAGAAAAAACCGCCCGTTCTTTACAGCCGTTACCGGCTGTTTGACATACATACGATCGGCGGCTCTATGTATGTATGTATGTATGTGCTGGCAGCCCCCTCCTCGATTGCTGCCGCCGCCATGAGTGCCGCCCCCTTCTGACCCCTCACCTTCAATCCCGGGATCCGCTAGCCCATCTGCGGCCCGGGACTGGCTCGGGAGGGCGTCAGGAGGTAAGATGGGAGGGAGATCAGCATCCTCCTCCTTGCTGATCTCCCTCCATACTGTGAATGCGGAAGTAATGTGTAATACATCTGGCTGGCTGCTCATAGCCATCTGGCTGCTATAGCCAGAGAGAAGAAGCTGATGAAGCAGATCTCTGCTTCATCAGCTTCTTTTGGGGTCCCCAGGTGACAGGGGTCCTAGAGACCCCTAATGTCTCCAAAAAGAGGACCTGTCAGTGTGCCTTTGCTGTTATATATATGATAGCAATAACAATAAGTGTTAAAAAAATAAAAGTCACATATATAAAAAGTTTTTAAAAAACCCAAAATGTTTAAATCCCCCACGTTTACGCACATATAAACGTAAATGCGCGTTTGATGCGCCAGTGTGCGAAAATGACACTTGCTCTTACATATGGCCGTGAACGTCGGAGGGAGAGCAATAATTCTAGGGCCATCAATCACTGATAACACTAAACTGATGAGCGGTAAAAGCTTTTAAAGCGTCGCCTGTGGCCAATTTTGGGTATTGTAGTTTTTTGAGGTTTCGCACATGTGCGCAATGTTAAGGCTTGACACGTTTGGTGTCTTTTTACCCAATGTGACCCCATCTCTTATATTTTAGCAAAAAAATCGGGTAATAATAAATGTTTTATCATTTAATTTAGGGGAAACAGTTTAAAAAAAAAAAATTTCTGTAATGTTTTCTTAACCTTTTGCCGTCCGCCCGAAAAAACGGACGGATGGCTGACTCCTTACCGCAGCGCTGAATACTGAAAAATGGCCTGGATGGGAGGGGGGTTTAAAACCGCGGATGTCAACTGGTTAATATATTAAAAAATAAACCCCCAGTGGTGATTAAATACCGTCAAAAGAAAGCTCTATGTGTCCCCAAAAAATGGTATAAAATTCATTTCAGTACAGCGTTGCATGACGGAATAAATGTCAGCAGCGCTGAATACTGAAAAATTGCCTGGCCAGGAAGGGAGTTTAACACCACGGACTTCAAGTGCTTAAAGTGTAACCAGACTTTTTCTGTGAATAAAACAATCCACTCTTGGTTATCTATGTACATTGTAAGCAGGGCCTTACTGGGACAAAAAATAGGCTCAGGCATACAGATAGTATTCAGAACCCCTTCACTGTTTTCAATTTTGTTACAGCCTGATACTACAGTTGTTTAAATACTGGGGATTGGTGCAGCCCTACTGTATAATGTAAGGTATTGCTGGGATGTGTAGTCCGTTATAGCTGGTGGTATTCTCCATTGCTGTAAAAGTATTATACAGGAATGCAGAATACCACCAGCTATACAGGACTACAAATCCCAGAAATACATTTTACAGCAAACCAGCAATGCTGAATGGCACTGTCTATAGAAGACTCCACATCCTAGCAATACACTATACAACAATGCAGAATAATATACAGCTACATACTCTCCACTGCTTTTTCTGTGGTTTATCCAGTAAACTGAACAAAAAAGAAATAAAACCCACTGTAATTACATAATAAATCTGATAAAGCCCAATAAACTGACATGATAAAACCTAACTGTTTGGTATTCATCTATTTATTATATATTATAGCTGTTACCTCAGTTCACACCCACATTACATTTGGGTAGAAGTAAGCACAGGTGTGAAATGTTATCTACGGCTTCAGATGGCACATCTGACACCTTTGATGACAAGCTGTCTGAGCGATGATATCTTAAAAGTTATTAAACAACATAGCCCCACAACCTGTAAAACCAGCAAGACCCGGGGGTGTGATGACACATAAAAGATGCAGAAAAACAAAAGAAACTGTTCTGATTTAGGCTTGGCCTAGACAGGTGAGAATGGCAGCCGGTTTTAGCTAACTCTAAACTGTAATGGTCTATGTGGACAGAGAAGTAAACAGGGCCTCTCGCTGATGGATTGCTCACGCTCATCATCACCACTAAATTACTAATGCCCGTATTCTGTGCTAGAATCTGAGAGTTTTGTAATTCAGAGGATCCTGAAAGCAAAGCTCACTATAGCAAAATATGAAGTGTTTTCTACTGAACTGTATTCTTTTAAAACTACAATAGATACGGTTCAAAGAAAAATAGCAAAAATAGATGTCAGGGAACACTTGAGTTGTCCTCAGATTTCATACCATGGGCTTCGTTTTAGAGATAGCTTTGTGTTAGATTTGAAGTACAAATTTAAAATTCCAAGATTGCTGAGTCGTCAAGTGGCTTGTAGGAACTGCTGCAAAGCTTAGAGAGAAAATATGTATGTCATCTGGGAAGAGGGTAATGTAATGGTGGATTTACCGCAACCCCATAAATAACATAGCTAAATTGCTATCAAACCTCTTTTATCAGTATCTAACAATATTTCTCTATTTTATATGACTGCATAGAAGGTCACCTGTTCACATGAGTTTCAGGTCCTGATCAGGTCCGGATCAGGTGCAGATCAGCAGACGCGGTGCTATGTGTTTTGCCGCGTTTTTGCCGCTTTTTTTATGCGTTCCAGTAAAATAATTATTTTATTTTTTTTGCTGGAGTGGGGCTGTCAGTGTGTTTTTGACGCGTTTTTGATGCGTTTTGCGTTTCCGGACCGTACAAAATTTGACATGCAGTATTTTTCTGTCGTAACCTGAACGGACTGCGTACAGTGAGAACTGTAGCCCATTAAACACATAGGGATACATTGGGATGCATTTTTAGTGCAGGAGCGTACGGATCAGGTCAGCACAGAAAGCGGGCGTCGTTTGAACAGGCCCTAAGTGCCAAAAAAGACATGTCCTGGTCACACCTCTTTACATACTTATTAGTGTTACATCAGATAAAAAATAGGGGAACCGGTATTTCATGCAACATAAAAAAATGTCAGCTAAACACATAAACAGCTGTCATCAGCAAATAAAGGAAGCTACATACACAAATACGGTAAATTTGGCAAACAAAATCAAATTTCTGGACTAGAACAGAAAATGGAAGCAAGCATTTGTTCAGTTGCTTTTGCCATAGTTAACAACTTTCTTCTACACTATCAGCTGAAAGTACGCAATAATTCACATGATGACCTCATATTAGGAGCAGTAGGAACGTTTTTGTACATATGTTAGGGAAGATCTAAAGGCTAGACAAAAAGAGGTTGCTACATTATGTCCTCTCACTGGAACCTCTGCCAGGAGATATTGCTTTAAAAAGAGCCACAGAGGAATTTGAGTCCAAATGGTGGACTGCTTCTCAGGGCTATAATTCTATCATACTGTGTGTGTATAGCTTCCTTCTTTTCTCATTTTTTTTTCTCCTTCACTCTCTTATTCCCTTTCCTTTTTCCATTTCTTCCTCACTCTCTCAACTACTCTCGTTTCTCTCCATCAATGCATTTCTCTTTCCTTTTTTTAGTTTTCCCTTTATTTCTACTTTCATTCATACAGTGGTCAGTGGGAGGAATATTGCTTGTCATTGATGTTAGTGAGAGAAACAAAACACAGAAGAAAGTGCCTTCTCCTAGTGTGATAACATTTATTTAATAGGAAAACTTAAAGAATAAAAAACTACTCACATGTGAACAACAGGAATGAGCCATATGTTTCTCAACCCACCCAGGACAGAGCTGTAGAGCTGACACATTTCAGGGGAAATCCCCACTTCCTCAGAGCTAACATACCAATACCCCAAGTCCAAATATATACTGGATGGTAAGCATGTGACATACAATAGGACCCAATCACAAATATAGGTCAATTCAAACTGGAAGCACCACTCACCTCATTAACTGTCGCACCAATTAATACTTCCTGGAGAGTGAAGGACAGTCCCAATCAGAGATGAAAACCTTACAAAATAGAGTGCCCATTTACCAAACAGCCATGTGTCTCAGCAGCCATTTTTGTTCAGAGTTTTTTCCATTTTAAACCCGCTTCCATGACAGCACTGGAATAGCGGCTCTGAGTTTTGCAGGCTGAGGCACTGGCGTCACAAGGGGGCGGAACAATGGAGGAGGGAAGGCCGAATGACACTTAGGAGGATACTTTCCAGTAGTCCTGTGGATGGCAGCCTTTCTTCAAGTAGTGGGTTGTAAGATCGTGGAGGAGTATCCAGCTTTTGCAGTTTGTTGTTCAATGGTAAATATGGTGCCCCATCATTGGTGTCAGTGGGAGGAGTGGTAACCCATTGTGGGTTTCAGCGGGAGTCATAGTTTTCCATCTTGGTGTCAGAGAGATTATGAAAGTTCATCCGGCATTGGTGTTCAGCATTGCTGTTTGCGTGTTACTTTTGAATATGTTTTAATATGTACACTGCTCCCCTGCTGATTACATTGCCTGTCACCCGCTGCCACTCTGCACACATGGATCGCTCTGCCATGCAATGGTAGGGCCTGCATGGTGGGTCGGTTTACAGCAGGCCATAATTTAAGGACTAATGATCTGTACCATCTACTTTTACATCTATCATGTGTATCATATTTCCTCTAATCACCAGTAACACGCAATCATTATTTATATAACAGACATAGTTTCTGCTTCTTTTGGTACTAGAGCTTTGCTGTTAACTGATAGGAGAGCTCTTCTATTTATTTTCACCTGTTAATGGCTCAATTATACATTTAACAACAATCTCTCTAATATTTAGGAAACTCCAAGCAGGGCTTGCGCTGTAAAATGTGTAAGATCGGGGTCCATCTGTGGTGTTCAGAAGAAGTGTCACACCAGCAATGTCTGGGAAAGACGGTAAGATACTATAATGTTTATATTTTTTCTTTAATTTAAAGCCAATTTCCAACTTTGTAAGTAATTAGCATTTACTGTGGTAATGTAGAGGTGCAGTGATGATGTATATGTGTGCACATTTTCATGACTCACATTGCAGGCTTTCTTCATTTTCTTAGCAACTTTTTATTAGGCCTGAACCCTACAAATGTAAAATTTTCTCCACAGGAAACTTAGTCTCACACTAGGGTCGGATTGTAAAGCTGGTTGTAAACAGCTGCCCCCCTCCCTGTGATTCTGTGTAACACGATCACTAAACACCAGTTCTGCCTTTACACACAATACACTGTCCAGGGGGGTTGCCACTATGAATACTAATGAATGGGGTGTGTAGAGGTCAGCTGTAACTTACACAGATTGTTTGCAAAGCACAGAGGCAGCCATTTCCATGAGAATATGAAAAGAAAAGCTAACAGAAAAGCTAACAAAAAAGCTAACAAAAATGTAAGTTTCTGAGTTCATAAACAGCAACTGCATACAGAATGCCTGTTTCATGTGTTTTGCTGGAATATTTTTTTAAAATACCTCAACAAAGGTGGAATGGGATTTAAGTTCCAGATATGTCTAACTATATCTATGTCCATCTAATATAAAGATTGTACATTATTTCTATTATTCTTCCCAGTTTATTGTGGATCACATAACAGTTGCACTCATTCTTATATACTAATTCCTAGGGCACCTGTCTCGTGTTTCTCTGGCCTTCATCATGGTAACCAACTCCCTCTTTATTCCTGTCTCTTACTTCTATCATTTTAGTCCGCATCTTTTCGTCGTAATTTCAGCTCTCCTATCCTTATCCAAGAGCCTCTTTCCAGCCCCAAGGAGTCTCCTGCAACTGGTAAGTGATAAAGCATTGTACTTAACAATGTACTGCTATCTTCTCTAAAGGAAGATTTCCTTACAAACTTACATGTAAAATAAATACCACCATGAGCTCCTCATTGATTTCTGCATATTGTCACTTGGTGTTTAAAGAAGAAAAGGCTGGTGAATTTATCTTGATGTATGCAAACAGCTGTGGCTAGAATGTGAATACCAAAGTGCGATAGGGTGCATTTAAATTATAAAGGCCACAGAACACTTTCTGCTCATTTGTGTTTCTATCCGTTTCCCACTGTTAAAGCGTAGTTTGAGTTTCTTTTTTTGGCTAAGAACAATTTCAGCAAATACAGAACATGCCTGTTGGTCTTGCTAGAAATGCAGTGTCTTTGTCATTTCATGTGAGCTAAAAACACAGTAAAACCATGTTATCGTACTTTTGTAAACTGATAATTTTATCAACTATCAGGTAATAAGTATGAACATGTTTGTCTAGCCAGTGTGACAAACAATGGCTGCCTCTGCAGATACAGTGGAGAAGTATAGCCTGGAGAGACAGGGAGTGTGTTAAAGGCAAGTATGAGGGCTGTCATTGCTAGCCCCTTTCTGAAACCACTTGTACCTGGCTGTGTCTTAATCACAGACCCATAAAAAGCAGGATTAAAATAATGAAAATAAAGGAAAAAAGCTACCATATCTAGAGACTGGTAGGGTACAATATATTAATTTTTTAGTTTTTGGGTTTAGATAGGCGTTAAGATTAGGATGCATAGTCAATGGCAAGAAGTAGAAAGCAAAGTGAAGAAGGCAGAATTTTCTGAAGACAGGTTAAAAGGTAGGCATTTTTGTAGGGTGCATTAAGGATGGATACACAGTGAGGTCAAATGAAGCGGGGCATTGCCAGGATTTCCTAAAGAAAGGATGGTGAAGCTGCATCCTGAAGGCCAAATCATCAATTTGACAGCCAAGGAACTATCATTCCCAAAAGAGTTCAGCAATGGCAGCTTCCACAATCTTCCCATGACTGTGTCACTTTAATAATCTCATCCCATTAGAGCCATCTGCTGTAGAGCCGTTTGAAACAGAGGATCCCTAGAGGCATCGCAGAGGGAAGCAATCTCTAGTTTTAACAGAGGCTGACTAAAATTGCCTTACACATTTAGCCAGCGATGTAGTTTCTCTGAGATGAGACCTATAATGGAATGCCATTTTTTCTAGTCTAGTGTTATCTAATTATCTGATGTTTTTCTAGTACTCACAGATTGTGCACACAACGGAGCACTGGAGAACACCAAAATAATGTATGTAAAAGTGAATATAAATCAGTTTTGTATTTTAGGACTAAAAAAAATAACTAAAAATATGAAATATTGCTCTTTATGAAACCCTTTTCACTTTTGCCACCATGCCCTGCTCCCCCTAAGGCTGACTTTACACTATTACATTGTGGTAATGTGCAGTAATACATGTGTTTTACCATGCACCACAGCACAATGCTTTGCGTGCATTAATTAAGAATCACACCTCAATGCAGAACTATAGTAGGTGGAATGCCACCACAGCATCTTATAGGTGTCAAGCATGGAGCCAGGCACTGATACGATGTAAACTCCAGCAGGCATTAGCAGGATTTACATTAAAACTGGCCATACACCTATAGATTATCTGCATATCATGCTAGTTGGCCCCGCTGGCTCTCAAAATACCTGAACAATGCCTGCAACAGATTGTTCAGGTATTTTGAGATACCAGAATTTGGTCATTTGTAGAATTAGTTATATTATACGAGGAGTGCAGGTTCTAGATTTATGTGGCCATAGGAATCTTTGATAACAGAGGTTAGCAAAATAAAGATGGCTCATCATGGAAATGAATTCAAATCAATTCAAGTAAATGCAATGACATATTTCTGTTTGTAGAAGCCCCAAGTATATACTGTATAGCAATTACTTTTATTTATTTATTTTTTTATTTTTTTAGAAAAGTTTGAAACATTTTCTGCCTATTTTAGACTATTATCCTGGAGATGTATGCTCTGCTGCCTAGTAATATCTTGGCACTGGCTAATATTCGTATGTATCTGTTATCCTCTCAGCACCCAGGTTTCTCACTTCTCCTATTAAGAATATATTTGTCTCTGTAAAGAAATCATATATTCTTTTCTGCAAAGATCTTCTTTTATCACCATCTCTCTCTCTCTCTATCTCTCTCTCTCTCTCTCTCTCTCTCTCTCTCTCTCTCTCTTTAGTTGCTCCTAGAGGTAGGGTTGACCCTGTATATGAGACATTGCGATATGGAACATCATTAGCACATCTGAATCGTTCAACATGTAGCAGCGTATCAGAGTCCCCCACACGCAGCCTGGTAAGTGTACAAAGCAGGATGTGTATATCTCCTGCGCTAAGATGCAGGGGCATAATGACAGATGATGTGGCCCCATAGCAAAATTGTGATGGTTCACCCAGGCGACCACCCTACTCTCATTGATCTATGTCTAAACCAAGGACAGGTAGCACAGAAGAGCTGTCAGCTTAGTTAATAGATTAGATAGCAGAGCTGTGGACAGAAGTTGTCAGGAATAGGGGGGCCATCAGTACATGGAATTAACTTTGAACCTTCATCTTCCAGCTAACTTCTCTGTCCTCAGTAGCTTACCTGTCGTTTTAGTATCTCAGATATTAGGGCCTCACTGTAAATTATAAGCCCCCCCAACCCTCAGCAAGCACATGCTAAAAGAGATGGCCTTGTGTTAAGGTAAACAAGACAAGAGTTGTAGTAGTGTAGTTGTAGTGATTGTAATGGCTATCACAATATATTACATTGCATAATTGTTAGTGCTCCTGCACACAATTGCTGTATAACCCTTTTACACGCTTCCTAAAACTCTGGCTTATTTGCAGAACTATTACTACTGTCTTGTATGTTTCTAACTAGTCAGGCATATAGGCCAGGGCTGATTTTAGTGCAGGCTGATGACCAGAAGCTGCAAGAGCAATAATTCTATATTAATAACACAGCTAGACAAATTATCCTTACTGCAAAGCCTGCAAAGGAGATCTGTGACTAGCTACAGTGATTCTGAGTTTCCTCCTGTGCGTCTTATGCCAGCTCTTCTTAGTTAGAAATGTCACAGGAGGTAAATGATCATTGTGAACAGCATCTCTGCAATCCTTAATGATACAGTGGTGAATTTGTGTTATTGTCACTTGCATACAGATTTTCCATGTTTATTGGGGTCCTCTTCCACCCCCAGGACCCATAGCAGCTGTGTGGGCTGTTATGGCTATTGTTACACCAGTGCTCAGATGAATAACTAGGGACTAACTACAGAAAATGCAGAGGATGCAGCTACAACAGGACCTGTCATGTCAGGGGACACTGTTATTAATGTTTCTCCGTATGTAGGCTTCAAAAACCAGCTGTTCAAGATGAAGGTGCATCTTTATTATTACACAGAGAGAGTTCTCAGCAGAATTTATAGGGTGACAAAGGATCAGGAAGTGGCAGGCTGCCTCTTGTTTCATTATTTTATCACAGTTCACTAACATAAAAGTGTATATATTAGATATAAGTTCTAAGCATTTTATATAAGCTGCTAGAAGTTGGCCACACATTATAGCGGTTACAACAAGACCCTGTGTCCAGGAAAATAGACAATCTGCAAAATGCATATTTGGACCTTGTTCCAAGAATTTATACCTGATCTGAAAGTCGACGTTAATTCATTAAACTCTAACCAAAGACAAGCATATTTGTAGCCTGACATTGACTGCTGCTCTACAAAATGCCGATTTTATTGTGTTTAATACCATTTGCAGAGTGAGAAAGAGGAAAGAGCAGAGGACCCAGAGGGCAGCATTCAAAGCAGTGAAGAAAGCCCAAGTCACCCAGGTGGGAGTGATATCTTCAGCATCCTCCATGCTTTTCATTCTCCCAATCCTTCCCTTTCATCTGCCTGTCTCTTCCATGCCTTCTTATTATTCACTGTGAACTTATTGATCTCTCTATTACTCCCAGTGTTTGCAGATGAGGCCAGCATAAGTGAAGATACACGCAGCATGTCGGTGAGTAACTGACAAGCAAAAGGTATTGAATACTTTAGATTCACCCAATTTACTTACATCTCTGTGTGCACAGAGCTTGGCGTCAACTGGCAAGACAAGAAAGGAGATCTCTCCCATGTATAGCTATGTGGCTCTATACAAGTTTCTACCTCAAGAGATCAATGATCTTCCACTGCAGTAAGTATATGATGTTGTGTTCTTCTTACTTGTAATTTAACTGCTAAATCCTCAAATGACCTTTCATCTTAATGTGCAGCACAGTTCATCATCTTGCTGGTCTGTAGCCACTATATTGTACTGGCTTATGTGTAGCATGTTAACTGACAATGACCGAAACATAAAGACTTACTATAATTACCATGATTAACAAGTTTGTTTAAATAAGAACTCCTGGCAAATAAAGTTCTCATCCCTTCCAGTGGGATACCCCCGCACTGCAAGGGTTATGTGCTCATTTTGTTCCAGGTGCAAAAATAACAACATTATACTCATCTGATCCTCAGAGCCTGTTGGCCATTAGAACGGTCCTTCCAACCTCTCTCTCCCTCCGCTCCGGTGGTCTAAGGATCCTTGAGTCTTTATGTCCACTACACTATGTATAAGACGTGAGGATGCCAAAGGGTAATTCTATTGTTGGAGCGGAGGAGGAGACAGCCTGGAGGGAGTGCTTTAAAAGCCACCTGGCTTTGGGGTTCGTGTGAGTATTACTTTGTTTTTTTAGCACCTAGACAAAAATTACTACTTAACAGGGACGTGTAGTCAGGGGAGGCAGGTGAGTCAGAGCCTCACATAGTATTATGAAAAAAAAAAGTGTCAGTTTCAAGTCTGAAGCTGACAGCTTTTTCGCCATTCAGAGCGACTTGTAACAGGTTACACAGCAGGGAAAGCCTCCCCGCTGTGTAACCTGTTATGGACAGAGTCCTGCCTGTTAATTACAGGTAGCGCTGCATCCGGCTTTTGACAGGTAGTTAGGTTACACAGCAGCGGGCTTCCCCACTGCTTGTGTAACCTAACTAGTGAGGCAAGAGCTGTCACAGCCCCTACTCTGTGTTAGAGGCGTGAGCTCTTTGGATGGCTTGGACCAATGGCAAAGCGCCATTGGTCCAAGCTGCCCAATCAAAAAAAAAACAGTGAGGACATCAATCTCGATGCTTCACCAGTGACGAGCAAGTGAGGGACAGGGAGGCGCCTCCCTGTCTCCTCCCTTCCTCCTCCCCACACAGCTTGGTTACTGAGCTGGGGGTGGAGCTTTGTCGAGATCGGGGTGGAGCTTTCGGCGGGACGGGGTGGAGCTTCGGTGTGCTTACCCAGCACAGAAGGCACGGCACGTCATTGCCACTTAACCCTTGCAGTAAATACAAGTTTTATTAACTATACAGTTAGGCTGCATTCACGCGGTGGCATATACTGTGTTCAGGGATTCCTGCAACAAGAGCCAACAGATTCTTGCAGCAGGAATTGCTGGTGTGCCCATTCAGATGCGGCTGCTGTGTCTCGTTCAAGTTAATGACAGGGTGGCAGTGTTTGTATCTGTCAGGGGCTGTCTTTATATAATCATATATGGCACGATTATCTGCGGTTGCATCCAGTAACATCTACCGTATCCCTTTGTTGAAGGAGTTGGGTGGAAAAATGTCAGCCAAACAGTGACAGATGCAGTCACTGTTCCAGTAGTGAGCAGCAACGGGTCCAGCTGGCTCCTAATTCCAAAAGACGGCAGTGCAGATTCCTTTATTTACGCTGTTTTGCGTGGATGGGGAATTGTGTGATTCTGAAGGTGTATGGCCAGCTTTGCACATTGATAATAGCAGAAAACCAGCCAAATGAAGAGAACTGCATATTTTATATATTCAGTTATCCACTGATATCACACTCTTAGCATCACTTAAGTGAGCTAAACAATTAAAACCTGCAGGACTGAAGTTTGTTAACTTTTTGCTTCAAAGCTGGAGCCCTTTTGGGGCTTTGTTTACAGTTTAGTGCCATATGTATACTAATTTCACTTTTAAGTCACTGCTTAGTGTAAGTATATTTCCACTTTTGGCAAAGAAAACCCCTCTATATGTTTGTTATGTGATCCTATTCACACAGCATAATGAAAAATAAATAAATAAATATATATATATATATATATATATATATCTTACCTTTTAGATGTTTTGTTACAGCAGTAAAGATGGCCAATTTCAGGTTTTTCTCAGCACTTTCACAGTGATCTGTCCCAATGCAAAGACTAAGGAATGAAGTTTGAGAATTGTGTTTTTCTCATTCACTTAATTAACATTCAGTGGAGACGCCATCTCACCCCCCTCAACCCTCACAGCTTCTCCTAACATCACAAAGAAAGATAAGCAAGTAGAAATGTTAACCCCTAAAACCCTAACCCAAGAAAAAGCTATTTTAACTGCAGGAAGCATTTTTTTTAAAATATTTTGTTTAGCTTATGCTATGTGAATGGCAATATGTAACAAATATAAAATAGGTGTTATCCCAATATGGCTGCAAAAGTAAAAATACGCTTTAAGTTATATTTGATTTCAAATACGAGAGTGAGAACATATGAAGCATTAAAAATACCCCATTACCGTTACAATCTTAACATGTTGACACTGCCTGGTGTGTGCTACTTCACAAGCGTGTCCTTGCAGCTCTCACACATAGCTTCAGACACACGTTAGTGATATAGCGGCTGGGGAATTGGGGGGGGGGGGGGTCAACAGCGAACAGTGTGGAGACTCAGGCATCTGACCCAACCAGAAGGCACCTTGCAGTGTCATGGTGTGAAAAGGGTAATGTAACTCTCCAACATAACAACAATTTGATTCAATAGCTCACCAAATAGTAAATATTATGCTTGTCATTACCTATGGATTAAGAAAATATAGATGTTAAATATGGTGATGGGGTTTCTTTAAAGACTGCCTTGATGACATAATCATTCCACTGTCCTACATCTGAGTTTTATTTATGATTCTGAGTGGGGTTTTGGCATATTTTTATATTGCTGTTTTAATTGTGACTCATTATGATTGTTCTTTTTATATATTTATTTGGTGAATATATATGTATTATAGGTTTTGTTTTTAATCTATACATATATATGCACAGTGCACTTTTGGTATAACCTTTGATTATGTTTAGTACACTAGAAGAGCAGCTTTAGATTGCGTGGATAAATTTAATATTAGACCCTTAACGCTGTTTAGCTTTTTCAGGTCTCTATTATTTTTTCTTCATATATTTTTTCTCTTCTGTATGATTTTCTTTTGTCTTCTTTACTTTCAGCACTCTCTGCTCTATTTCTGTGCCTCATCCTTCTATCTCCACAGCACCCCTGTTTTCCGCCATTCCTCCCTCCTTCAATTTATCTCTTGTTCTTCCTCCCTACAGGCCCGGTGACAGAGTTATGGTGATGGATGACTCTAGCGAGGATTGGTGGAAGGTGAGAAATCCAGATTTTATGGTCACAGCAGGTAGAGCGAGGAGAGAAATACAGTAAACAAGCGAAAATAGAATGAAGCGAGGAGAGTCTTTGTGTGAGTTTTGATTTGATAAAAATAAGGGAAATGTGAAGAAAAAGCTTAGAAGGACATTAGAGAGGAGTAAACAGCCAAGAGGCAGGAAGAGAAAAGATGTGTTTTGCTGTTATATATGTGCAAGGAAGTAATTATGCATGAATGACCCCCTCCACCCACAACATCCACCCCATTGTCAGTATGACTGCACATAATTCATTGTCACAGTGCCCAGGCCCTACTCTGTGTGTGGGCAAAAGGGTGAGGTCACACTGTGATAAACACAGAGGGAGGTCAGCTATTGGTGACGGAAGTGTTGATAGGGGAAAGAATAAGGGGAATCGCAAGAGAGAAAGAATAAATGTGAACCTTTAAGACACAGTAACAGCACATTGACACAGGTTTGCTGCAGCGTTGTTAGGTATCACAGAAAGGGACATACTTCATATGCCAAGGGGGGTGATTACAGTAATACCGAGGAGTAGCATAGGTTGGGCAGCTATAATGTGTAAATTATAGTTTTGTTTTGTTTTTTTTACCTATACTTGGGGATGGTTAAAACCCTTGTCAGCGTATTTATTTAATCTGTATCCCAGAGATGCAACAGTAAGTAACAGTAAGTGAGAGGGAATTTCTATGAAGTAGGTGGAATTTACCAGAACAGGTGTCCCCATTGGAAGATTTACCTTCGCCTCTTTTTCTGGTGACAGCTCTAAAATTTTGGATTTCCCAGCACTTTTTTCTTATTGACAATAACAGGACACATAGAGAGAGTGAATTACCTAGGACACAGAAAGCAATGGAAACCTGACAGAGGTGCTAATCCTCCCCTACTCTCTCTACTATCAAAAACTATACATACACTATAAAGCTGAACACCTGGCAAACAAATAAGTACTGTTTTACCTAAGCCCCTGAATCAAACATTGGTTCTCCGTGGCATAGATATGATCAGGGGCCCTGATCATATCTATGCCACGGAGAACCAATGTTTGTTGCACTGTGGTGCCTTTATTTCTTAATGGCACCCCAACGCAACTAGCCATTGCACCACAACACATGGTAACTTATTACTATGAGATGTGATGTGACAAAATGAAAAAAAAGGATCATGCACTTCTTTGGTGCAATTTAGTTTCTTTAGGCAGCCCATTCAAATTAACAGTTGCCCTACCGCAATGCACAGTAACGTGTGTAAAATCAAGCAGCAATGCATGTGCTATATGTGTTAGACCCAGGCCTGCAAAGGATTTTTAACAAATTTAAACATTCAAATAATTGCCCAAGCCATTATGCTGTAGAGCAGCTCTGGGCAGTCTATAATTTAGGGGGAATGAGTGAAAGAAATGGTGGAAATAATACAGTTTTGGGCTGCACTTCCTTGCCATGCCATGCCATGACTGATGTAGCTGAATGATACTCTCAGTGGCAGCAACAGATGGCAGCATGCAAAAACTACAGCAATGAGGAAGACTCCCCAGCATTGATTGGAATTGCATAATTAACAGGTATTTATTTGTGTAACATCACATAGGACAGATATAGCCAACATTTCTAAGCTGTACAGGGTGCTTTCCTTAAGCAGACACTGTGACCATTACTGTGAATGGAGGAAAGTCACGTGACTTCTAATTTCATCCTTCCTTCCCCTTGCAGGGAAAATGTTGTGACCGGACTGGTTTCTTTCCGGCAAACTTTGTGCAGAGGGTCCGGCTGGGGGAGACAGTGTGGAAGAGCATAACGACTTTCCAAGGAGTCAAAGAACAAGGCCAGCTTAGCCTGAAAGAAGGACAAGTAAGTACATTACATATGTTCCTGGGTCTTTAGTGATGCGTATGTGTATATAATAGACATGTAAGCTGCGGAAAAATTTGGTTCTGGTCGGATTTTTCGTTATTTCAGGATTCGGGTCCGAAATTCAATTTGGTTCGGGGTTTCGGATTCGGATGAAATGCAAATTTTTCATTAGTTTCGGATGAGTTTACAAACGAATATTCGTTGCGACTACCAGGGAAAACCATGTACAGATATTAATACTCAAGCTGAAGCTCCTACACAGTGGCATAACTAGAACCTTCAGGGCCCGGTGCAAGAAACCATGAAGGGCCCCCCCCTCCCCAACCGCAATGGCACCGCATGGTTAACAGGAAAGCTGCCGAGGTCCCCAGCAAGTGCGGGACCTCAGGCAGCCGCTTGTTTAAAATTTTAGTGCCGGTGTTCTGTTGAGAATGCTGACCCAGTATCTGCGCTTGCGTACAGACGGGATTAACGAGGAAACCGCCATTTATTTACAAAGTATTCATTTGTAATGGTTAATTGTGACTGTTAATAATATACCGTCCATGGCAGTAAATGATGGGTGGCAGTGAATGATGGCTGGCAGTAAATGACGGATGGAATATTATTAACAGTCACAATTAACGATTCAAACTAAATACTTTGTGAATAATAATATTGGTCTGTGTGCAATCGCAGATGCTGAGGTCGGCAAATTCGACTACGTCGGCGTTCTCGACAGAACACCACTATGTGCGTTTAGTACCGGAGCATTAGTATGAGTACTCGTGAAAATGCCCAGTATTGGCACTGGTGTATCCCTACTTAAAATATAATGCATTGGTGGGACTTGTAGTCCTACATAGTTGGAGCTATTCTGCATTGCTGTATAATCATCATACAGCAATGCAGAATATCACCTGCTATGCAGGACTACAAGTCCCAGCAATGCTTATAATAAAAGTCGGCTATGCAGAATACCCCTTACAAACAACTCACAGAACATACAGGCACAGAGATTAAAGCACTTACCTTATCTACCTGTCCTCCAGGCTGGAACACCATGCAGCAGGGAGAGGCAGCGGGCTATGTATTCAGGAAGCAGCTCTCTGGGTGCTCCCGGCCAAGGCCCCAGCGCTGCCTGTGGTACAATTACACCCGGTGTGCGGCTCTCTGCCTCACTTGCAGGGCGGCCAAGCGGATGGCGCCTGGCGCCCCCCACAATTCATGCCCCTGTCCTGCCACTGGTATTATGGGGCCCCCCTCCTTCTCTCCTTGCGCGCTGACTCTATCCCGCACCGGCGGTACTTCCGCCTCTGCCTTGCGGCCAACGCTGTATGAAGAAGACCTTCCGGCAGCCGAGTCCACCTGCAATGGGAGAAGGGGGGAGGACGGAGGGGGTCATTGCTGGCGCCAGACCGAATCTCACTGGGCCACGGGCCCCCCCACGTTATTCCACTGGGTGATGGCCCCCCCTGGCCGCAGCCCTCAGGCAGTGCACTTCTTCGCTGGTCCCCTCCCCCCCCCAAGTGGCGGAACTACCAGGGCCCGGTCGCAATTGCGACCGATGCGACCCTGGTAGTTCCGCCAGTGCTCCTAGACCCGAATGGCATAAGGGAGTCTGAATTTTCTAATAGCATTCGGGAGCTCCAGAAAGCAATACGAGTCTGGGAGCCATATACATACATAATATTAAAGCTGAGGCTTCCAAACCCCCTGGAGCTCCTGAATGCTATTCGGACATTCGGACCCCATTTGGGTCTTGGAACATCAGCTTTAGTATTATGTATGTATAATTAGTATTCTATTCTAAAACACACCTGATTGGCCAGAAAAGTCACAAGTCCGATTCAATTTAGTTTTTTTCATGCATTAGGATTCTGTCATTTGGATGTGTCCGAATTTTGGAACATTCGTACGAATTTTGATTCAGAACTAAACGAAACGCACATGTCTAGTATCTAATACTGCTGAGCAGTGTTCCCATATATAAAGACACAAAGCAGGGATATAGGGGATATCCATTGTTCTGTAGTGCAAAAATGTTAGAAAAAAAAAAAAAAAAAGTCCTAAAATGATAGAAGCCATAAGCTTCTAGGCTGAACTCGATGGACATGTGTCTTTTTTCAACCTGACTAACTATATAACTATATTAATTAGTATGTCAGTTACTATTTCATCTTCTACTGACTATACAGAACTCTGTACATAGATTACTGTATACAGTTATAGGATATTACCGTAATAATACAGTCCTTTATTATTGTACATTATCATAGCTCTTTGCTTTATTTTAATGAATAATGTCACAGAAATTAAACATAATGCGACAGGGGCCGATCCAGTTTAAACCCTTTTATCTAGTTTAGGGGTGGTATTGGCTACTTAGACACAAAGCATCCTACCCTAAAGTTAAACTGTAGCTTCCTAGGCAATGCCTTGCAATGTAACTTAACCATAGGCTGGGGACATGAAACACCTGGGCCAATGTAGATCTTGGACTGTTGGCTGTTGACTGTTGTAGATCAATGTGTATCTTGGACTGATGGCTTATTCAGACCACAGTCAGAGAGTGACCTGCATTATATAGCCACCTGCTCCCTATTTACCCCTGCAATCACAGTGCCTGGCAAGTCCTATCTATCTATCTATCTATCTATCTATCTATCTATCTATCTATCTATCTATCTATCTATCTACAGTATCTATATACTCCCCTATTTTATATTCTTTGTGCAATTGAAAATTGACAAAGAAGCAAAAGGATATGTATACATTATATAGTTTATCTCTTCACAGTCTGATCTTGCTGACCTCCATTATGCAGCCCAATTGCTTCCTCTCTCCCCCTCTGTCTCGCCGTCTTCCATAACTCAGTATCATTGCTTTGTTTTCCTGCTTTTCTCATAGTCAGAGCTTTTTGGCTCCTGTCCCCATGTCTACTATCCAATGCTTTCACCTCACAGCCCCCTCCATAATATGGTCTCGCTGCCTCCTTTCATTACAATCAAATCTCATTGCTTCTTTTTTCTCCCTTCTTTTTTTTCATTTTTTTATCCAATCCTGCTGCCTCCTCTTCCTCTTCATTAATTTATTTATGCTGCCTCCAACTTCTTCCTTACTACACAATCAAATCTTGTTGCCCACAACAAACCTGTTTACCTGCTGATTCCTTACCCCCAGTAAACAGTTTTACTGCCCCTTCTCTACCTTCTCCACTTTAGCCCCCACCCCCCCGGCCTATGCTGTTGTACTCTGCCACAATCTCATGTTAAGGGAAAGGCAGTATCGGACCTGGATCCATGTAATTGAAAACAATAGAAATTTAGGGTACCAAACTTTGGGATAGATAGGAGACTCTAGGCAGACTTTAGGACAGATATAAGTATTTGGAAGGGCTTGGATGCAATTTTGTAATGGTAGCCTTAAGGTTGACCAGTATAACTTAAGTACATTACTGTATTGACTTTAGACCTGCTCCAAAGCTAAACTCAAGGCAAACAGCCAAAGCCCAATACACATATAAAATACATAGGAATTGTTTTGCCTTCTAAATGATTTGTATGTTTGTCCATCTAGTCTTGAGATTTACACAGCCCCATCGCATAGGAGGTGGATGACACCACTTACATTTAAGGCCCCATGCACATGGGAATTAAATTGCATGTGTACCGGTGCATTTGAAGCACATTTCTAAACCCACTTGCAAGTAAGTAATGCTTTGCTATGGCTGAATGCACACCTAGATATTTAGCAGTGTCTAAGTGCATTCAGTCTATCTAACAAGAATTTTCTGCATCGAGTCTAAACTGGTTTTACACAGCTAAGTGCAAGTAAATGCATGCAAATGCAGCTAAATGCATGTACATCTAATTGCAGGAAAAGGTGATCTGGGAAGCACAAAAGTTGTTTATACCTCCCAGATAAGTTCTACTGCATGCATGGGGCCTAAGGGATATAGTGGTGTCCTCTCTCCTTCCCAGCCTCCTAACTGGACATAGAAAGAGCATTAGGAGACTGATAAGGTCACCCCTCCACTCTCTCTGATCTTTCCACCTTTCAGCATGCACCTTGTTAGCACATTTGCATGCAGATCACCTGGTTATTTCCCAGTCTTGCTCTTCCTTCTCCAGTGGTGCTGCACAGGGGATTGCAAGAAGCTGATACCAAGTAACATTCAAATATTTACATATAACAGGAAAATCTGGGAACCATGGATTTAATGTCATCTCCCCTCTTCCTATTATAAGGATTCTTTTGGACTTTTTAAATTCTAATTCTCTGGTACAATATTCATTCATTGGGCAGTTTGTTTTGTGCATGTACTTTTCCTTTTCTCTTTTTCCCCATTTTTGGCCTTCTTTCTTGCCTCTTCTTCTGCTACTCATCTTGAGTTTTTTCTTTTTCCCGTCTTGGTCACCTCCACTTTATTACGTAGTGGCCTGGGGACAGCCTAAGAGCTATGTTCTGTAACCCCCCTTCTTTTCTTCTGGGGTGTTTGATGTCTGGTGCACCTCAGCATATACCTGGCTGCTGAGGCTTAACGTACCTTGCAACCATTTTATTTGTACTGTACAGTAGACATGTGCGATTCGTTTCGTTCCGAATCGAAATTTGGACGAATTTTCGGACATTCGGATGTATCCGAATTCCGAATTACAGACATAACGAATGCAAACGAATCCGAATTTCCGTTTCCGAAATTCGGTAGCGGTAGTTCGTTCGAATGTTCGTTTAGTTTTCATTTCTTATTCGTTTCGTTCGTTGGAGCAAAGTGACATTAGAGGAGAAAAACATTTTTCCCCCTGAAATGTCACTTTGCTGCAAACGAACGAACGAATGAACGAAACGAATAAGAAACGGAAACGAAACGAACGTTCGAACGAACTACCACTACCGAATTTCGTCCGAATCGGAATTCCGAATCCGAATTGACTTTCACACCCGAATCCCGAAAAACGAAATAACACAAATACGAATTACAACGAAACAAAACTAAACAAATTTTTTGGCAGTGC